TGCTGGAACTGTGCCGCTCAAGTATGACGCCAGCCTAAGTTATCCAAGTATGCCGTCACAACGTTTTCACATCGTTCCTTTAAAATGTGAGAGTATATGAGACTCACTTCGCTAAATCCCATCTTCTCCTTACCTATTCTCACATGATAGTCGAAGTATATGTTATCTTCATCATTTCTAACCAATGCTTACAAAACTTGCCATAGGACGAGGTTGTTGTCAAGAGCCGCCTCCAATCTGTCCCAATGGTGGTCGAGCATTTCAAAGATGCAATCGAGGAGCAGACTGCCCTCCTGGTTTTGGATGCACACCTCTTGGTATTATTCAGTTTTTTCGCTGTTCAGGCCTCCTATGCAAAGTGTTGTAGGAGGATGTTGCCTGCTATCCATGGAACCAGTTTGCCCACCGCAAAGCACTCCTATATGCCAGTGCTCACCAAACAGGGCTTGCCCCATGGGTGCAACGTGCACCATGGGAACGTGCTGTGCCGCAGGTCTTGATCATGAGAAAGATTATGCAAAGCCAGCAAACAAGTTTTTTTTAGCTTCTGCTTTGGCTCAGTTCAGTCAGATTCCTGGGTCTAAGTGCCAAGCGTCAACTCAGTGCAATGGCTATATGAACTCATGCGCTCAGTGCACACAAGGAATTTGTGCCTGTGTGAATGGAGCTGCGTCGAATGGAGCCAGTTGCCTTCAGATGCCCGCGAAAACGTTAATTCTAGCTCGGAATGGGTGTGATCAGTACGGATCACCTTGCAACGTGTACTTGTCATCAGCTCGCCGAAAACCAATAATCGCGCCAGTCGGGAATATCACGGAAACTCCACGTGAGAACCAATTTTTTTAGGCACGAAAGTCAATCCAAACAGCATTTCAGTCTTTTTCAACGTCGCCAAGGAGCGACAATGTGTATCCAATTCCACCATCGCAGACTTCGATCCTGATAGCACCTGCCTACCTAATGAGAAATGCATTGATGGAGTTTGCCGAATGTGCGTCCAGAAGATAAACCTTCGTGCTTTTCACAAAATGACTTTAGGAAACTATGGCCGGGCGAGTACGGCTGCATCAGCGATGAAGAGTGTTCCTCACGTTGTGTGAATACGTACTGTGAGAGAAAGAAGAGCGACAAGAACGTCGCTCAGTGTCAGTGCCGCGATGGGCTACTCCTGTTTGGGCGTTGCTGTGAGTTGATAGATTTCCTTTAAAAGTATCCAGTCAAGTATGACAAGTCATTGCCCGCAGAGACTGGACACCGTTGCGTTTGATAAATAGAGTTCATGTTTGAAGAGACAGCAGACGGTTAGAAAAGTAGCGTTTGATCTGACAAAGGAAGAATATTCGGTGCAGTCCTCATATGAGATGACTCTTATAGAGAATGGATCGCTGATTCTAAAATTGCTTTTGAAGTCTGCAAAACGTTTCTGGCAGGGGGAGTTATGAAAATTTTTTGATATGAAAATTCAGGGTTTTGGCTGATTATTGCACTGAATTTATTAACTGCATGAAGCGCACTGGCAGTGATCACGGCCCATTTTAGCTCACAGACTACAACTCTAAATGATTCTGTTGTAGGTGTGCGTTAAACTTTTGCTTCAAAAAACTCCAATAACTCCCCTCCTAGAAGAAAACGTTTTGCAGAAAACGAAATCAGTTTTGTAATCAGCCCCCATGCTCTATATGACAGGTACATTTTCTATGAAAACGCCACTTCGACCAGGTATCCCTCCCTGTGAGAGAACCGAAACGTCTCCGCAGTGGCGTCCTATCTCTGCGTGCGATGAATGGACTATACATCTCATTGATGGAATTCCACTTTTCAGTCTCTCAGTGCCCTCAAGGTTTCCACGAATCGGGCGCCTACTGCATGTATGACAACGAAGATCTCTTCTGGGCAGATGGTGACGCACAAGATCGCATCAAAGCTCTCTTGAATGCATCGCCTTGCTAATAATTCGCAGATAATTCACGAAGACGATGTCTGTCTAGACCGAATAATGTATTTAAGTCATAATAAGCAATTTCGATCAAACAATGCTGTGTAGCATTGCCATGTTACTGTGTTATTCACGGTGCTTTCATTGTATTTTTTGCTGTACATCTCCATGGATACTCAAATAAATAAGATTTACACATTAGAGATCTTCCCACTTATGGCGTAGCTAAAAGTTCAAGTAGTTGACAGACGCATAAATCAGAGTGAGAGAAATGGTAGCAAGGTTTCAACCAGCTGCATGGATGTGCTTTTACGTTTGGATATGTGTATGGCCTTCATTCGGCAGTGAAAAGTGATTGGTTCCTATAAAAGGTTCCTTTTTTTTGTCTTTCCGGGTGGTCCTAAGACCACTCATTAGAGGATCACAAATCACAAGAACGAGATTTAGGGAAACGTCAGTGTTTTACATTAGAACTAAGTGGAGCTGTCGGACAGCAAGAAAATTAGAATTTCTAATTCACAATAACGATTTCACTACTTGTTTTCCATTTTGTGCGAGACTAACGCCTGCTATACTGATTATGGGCTATTGCTATGGAACAATTCTTACTGAGGTTTTGTGGCTAGATGTCGGTACTTCAATCTCTACTTACAAAAAAAATATTACCTTTATTTTGAGGGCTTGATGTGCATCTCAACAAGCTATCCAGCGAAGCTGGAAGGCACTCACTGAAGCCGTATACACCTTAGCTGCACTACCCGTCATACCTTTACATGCAGATAAAAAAAGATCAAGTTTTCATTCATAGTT